CTCAACCAATTCCTGCTGAACACTTTTCAAGACCTCCTCCCAGACTATTATCACTCAGACCTACTGGATGGTATGATGCTGGTTCTTAGAGAATACCAGGGATAAATGAACTTCTGGCCATTATAAAGCCCCCATTCACCTTACCATTTGAAAACATTTTTGCAATGAATCGGCCACAACCTCAGAACCTCATTCCCACTACTGAAAATACAATCATTATCTCACCTGACATCACACCACCTACTTCACCACAACTTCCAACACTAAACTCACCTATACTCTCACCTCCTCATATTCCATAACACCAATCTCATGAACCACCTGAAACATTTGAACCTTCTGAAACTCATGAATCATCTGAACCTCATGATCAATCAGCACCACCTAACCTTGTTGACCAACCTGACCATTCAACCACTCTTGAACCAACCAAAAATCCTGAACCTGCTAACTTTTTAAGAACTGTAGTGAATTATGAATCTCTACAATTTTTGAAAAACAAAACTTTCAAGAAGGTTGTACCAAAACCTGTTCAACCAGATGTGAATACATTGTTTCAAAAAATTTAACAGATGTTCAAGCATGGTTGAATCTACTGAAAGAAGATTGTTCCAGAAGTGTGAACCCAGCTGCAACGGATCTTCTATGGGAAACCTTCAGAAGAACTTTTAATACTGAGTCACTGAAGCTATAAGACTTATGTCACTTTCAGGTGCTGGACAACTTTTCCAAACTTCTGCATGCTTTCAAGTCAGAAGATGCTGACATTTGGAATAAGAAGTCTTCTCTAATGATTGTTGATACACCAACTGATACAATGGACATATCAGAAGAAGAATCTGAAGATGCCTCTGACGATTCAAACCCTATGGCTATTGTCCTATTGAATCAATCTTCTGTTAAGGCAGCTCCTGAACTAGTGCCAACTCTTGTAATGGATTTGGGCACTCTACTTTCAACCTTCGTTCGTTCTGACTCAACGGTTGCTTCTCCAAAGTCTGTTTCTGCTGAAGCTTTGTCATCCTCTGCTCCTACCTCACTTATCATGGATACTTTGAATGAGCTCAAGAGGGAGAATGAAGTCATTCATGAGCGCTTAGATAAGAAAGACCAGACAAATCAAGAAATAAGGAACTGGATGATGAAACAAGAAGAATCTGCCTCTGAGATCAAGAATCTTCTGATGGCTCTTGTTACTAAGAAATCCTAGTGTCTTTCTGTTTCTTGTCTTTTGTTTGTTGTTTTGTACTTCTGGATATCTTTTGCTATTTTTATAAAATCCTTTTTAATCTCTTCAACTATTTTTTATATACTTTTTTATTATGCCAAAAAGGGGGAGAAAATGAGTATTTTGATCTAATCTCTGATTAACAGTTATGGGACTAAGTCTCAGACATTCTAACAAAATACAAGATTTCTTTCTATGTGTAAAAGAATTTTTTGCAGGTATCACTTTAACTCTGAAAGAGTATTCCAGCTGAACATTATCCTCATAAAGAAGTTCTGAAGAAATCCAAGAAGATTTTTTTTTCATTGCTCTGATAAATAATCTCAAGAAGTTTTTAGAAATATTCATTTCAGGGGGAGATTCTTATCTCTTTATTATATTTTATTTCTATATCTGAATAATTTTTGTCATCATCAAAAAGAGGGAGATTGATAGAACAAGATTAGTTCTGATCTATCTCAGAGTTTTGATGATAACAATAAATTATATTTTAGATAATTTATACTCTGATGAACGTATTTGAATGTTTCAGATAATATTCTGACAGAAGCATTTTGATGTGCTGAGCTAAAAATTATATGAAGAAGTTCTTTAAATAAAAGAACTATTTGCTTTAAGCGCAACTGCTGTTGCTGACTCTGGTAAGACAAATTAATTTAATTGCATCTTCTAACACTTAGCAGGATTCCTTGTTCAGAAGATTACTTGAAAGTAAGTGTTGTTCAGAAGTTTATTTGAAAGCAAGCGCTGATCAAGTTTTTAGCAAACAAAACTTTGTTCAGAAGATAAGCAAAGCATGTTCTGAATTCAAGACGTTGAAGCAAGTTCTGAAAGAATTGCAAAAGTCAACTTGTCTTGTCAAGCTTCAGGTAACATGTTCTTACAAGTGTTGTTAGCTCATTTAATGCAAAGACGACTGCAAGCACTCAAGTGTCTACGATAGTTCTTGGAAAATGGAATAGTGCATAGAAACGTGCAAGCATTTAATGTTCTCCACTTTTTGAAGGCAGCAACGGTCTTTTTGTTCTTACTATATATAGAAGGACATTTATTGCAAGCCTATTAACCAATCAATTTCAAAAAAAGGAAGCAAGAAACTACGTAAAAAAAATTGGGATCACAAACTCTTTGTTCATACACTTTGTGCAATTTATTCTAAGTGAAAAATCATAATTGTGATATAGCTTAATTAGAAGCAAATTTTATTTCACTATCTGTAAGATTAAACTCTTGTAATTTTTCCTTGAGAGACCAAGTTTGGTCAGATTTTTCAAGTAGACTAGGACTAGATTTAAGTCTTAGTGGTGTTAGTCACTTGTAAGATTACTTAAGCATTGTTAGTCACAACAGTTGTTGTGTGTTTGTAATCAGTTGATTATAGTGGATTAAGTCCTTGTTGAGAAAGGCGAAATCACCTTGACGGGCGGACTGGAGTAGTTTGAGTTCAAACGAACCAGGATAAAAATAACTTTGTCCTTCCATTATTGTTGAGCTTTGTTTTGAAAAGAAAAAAAGTCACTTATTCAACCCCCCCCCCCCCCCCCCCCTTCTAAGTGTTTTCTTACCCCTTCAGAAGTTGCTTTCAAGTATGATTGAGCAAGGAATTCTTGAACTCTGGGTTTAGGCAAAAAAGTCTCTTTCAAGTGTGATTGAGCATGGTAGTCTTGAACTGTGAGTTTAGGCAAGAAAGTCTCTTTCAGTTATGATTGAGCAAGAAGTCTTGGACTAATGTGTCTAAGCAAGTTATAATCAGGTTCTGATTATAGTGAAAAGATCTTGTGTGGCAAAGGGACTGGACTATCCTCGTTATAGAGAAACCATAATAATCTTTGTGTGTGATTAACTTATTGCTTCTGCACTTTAAATTATTTTGTTGTTGCTTACTCTTGATGAGAATCTGAACTTGGTCAGATTTAGAAGTTATTGTTCTTAAAAGAAAAAGTTTTATCAAAACAATTCACACACAAAAAAGTGTGATTGAGCATGGTAGTCCTGAACTGTGAGTTTAGGCAAGAAAGTCTCTTTCAGTTATGATTGAGCAAGAAGTCTTGGACTGATGTGTCTAAGCAAGTTATAATCAGATTCTGATTATAGTGAAAAGCTCTTGTGTGGCAAAGGGATTGGACTATCCTCGTTATAGAGAAACCATAATAATTTTTGTGTGTGATTAACTTATTGCTTCTGCACTTTAAATTATTCTGATGTTGCTTACTCTTGATGAGAATCTGAACTTGGTCAGATTTAGAAGTTATTGTTCTTAAAAGAAAAAGTTTATCAAAACAATTCACACACAAAAAAGTGTGATTGAGCATGGTAGTCCTGAACTGTGAGTTTAGGCAAGAAAGTCTCTTTCAGTTATGATTGAGCAAGAAGTCTTGGACTGATGTGTCTAAGCAAGTTATAATCAGGTTCTGATTATAGTGAAAAGCTCTTGTGTGGCAAAGGGACTGGACTATCCTCGTTATAGAGAAACCATAATAATTTTTGTGTGTGATTAACTTATTGCTTCTGCACTTTAAATTTTTGTGAGTAAAACCCCTAATCACAAAAACAATGATGAGTAATGGAGAGATTGAGAAAGTGGGAGAATTGGAGAAAATTAGGGTGAAAATTTGACATTCTAACATTAATGACCCATCATAGATATTGAAATTATCATACAAAACAATAAAGTTAACCAACTACCTAGATAAGCAACCTGATGCGTATTTAGTGTAACTGGTTGCTCTAAATTTGTCTCAAAAAATACAAAAATTGGAAGGGTGTAATCGGTTGCATATTTAGAGCAACTATTTGCTCCAAATTGTGCCTTGTATTGAATGTTGCAAAATAAAGGTGTATCATGTTGCTCATTTACTACAATCTATTGCACTGACTTAAATTATATTATTTTCTCAAGACATATTAGCCATAGCTATTTTTAGTTTCTGGATGAAAACTAATTATTGTTGTTGTTCTGGTATGTTTAATGGCCCTCCATTCTTGGGATTAGGATCCTCTCTTTGATATTATTGTTGAGATGAGTAACTTTGTTGAAATTAGGATCCTCTCTTTGATATTATTGTTGAGGTGAGTGACTCTATTGAAGAATTGATCGTCTCTTGCATGAATTTAGAGAAAATATTAAGTGAATGTTATAAAAAGGAAACATATGAGTTTTGAGATAGGAGCCATAGAAGATAGAGGAAGTAGAGGAAATAATGTAATTTGGAGTGACGAGTTTTAGTTTTAGAATTGTCTTATGTTTTGAATTGTCAAAAAGTTATGAATTTCTTATTTTTTGTTCACATTTTTCTAAGGCTTAGAGCTGGAATTGATCAGCTAACTCAACAAAACAACATGTAATTTATTGTTCATATAATACTTGGTTCAACTATAAGAGTTCTTATTTATGTTCCTTTGGTTCAACTATGAGAAAAAACAAACTTGTCTTATATCAACTCATACATGAAAATGCTTGCAAGAACCACCCGAAAAAATAGACTACATTTAATGACATAGAAAACAGATTACATGTGCTTCTTGTTCTGCATATATTATTCTGCTTATTTATGTAAGCAGAATAATATATGCATCTGTTACATATATGAAACAACAGACAATATATAATACGAAAAACATAGGCACCAAAATATCGGTAAAGCAATCATCAAGCAAAAATATTACTATCTAGAGTTACCAAATTACCGATTAAAAGTCCATTCTTCGACTAAACATATTACAACATCTTACTAGAAACAGCAAAAAAGACAGAGTTTGCAAGATTGCTGACCTAGTTAAAGTTGATTCCCATTTCCTTTCGCTTCAATTCTAAAGCCATGCGTTCATTTTCAAGCTTCATTCTTTCATTTTCTAGACTCATCTTCTCCAATTCCCGGTCCTTTTTTTCACTAAATCTCTGCCACTTGAACCTTTGTTTCTCTAATTCCAACGTCTCCGCCTGAATTTGTAGCTTTTGCTCTTCTAATTGAACTTGGCGCATGTCAACCCATTGCTTCTGTAACCATGCTCCTCTCGTGTTTTCAGGTAAAACTTGGTTACCGTCAGAATGAGTCGTTTGCCCGTGTGGATGTGAACCTTGGTTGAAATGATCTTGACAATTTGAAGTATTACCAAGAATGTTCCCATCTTCTTGGCCTTGGATTTGTTTCAAGTTCTTCGTATAACCATCGCGGGAAGCACAGTGCACTTTAGAATCATCGCGTTCCTCAATCTCAACATCTTGCTCATCATCATCATGATCCTCGACATGGGACATTCTGACATCATCATTATCATGATCGTGATCATCCCTATTTCGGAGAGCTAACTGCATCGAACATTGCAATGCAGGATCATGCGGCAAATGCAACCTATTACTATTATGATAAGAACACATCTCTTCATAAAACAAGTGTTTCGAGCTTAATATTTTCCGAACATCATCCTTTTCTTTCTCAGATAGAAAATTAATAACACCCAAGAGTGACGGATTCTCAACAACCTCACAAGAAGTTCCTCTCCCTAACATATCATTAAGCTTTTTATACCTTTTATTAAGATCATTGAACTTATCCTCGCATTGTTGCGGCGAAACATGATAACCTCTTTCAGCCATAACCTTCGATACAGATTTCCACTTACCCTTTTTCTGTAAAACCGTAAATTTCCTTCTTCCATTTCCACCACCATCAGAAGTTATATCCTCACCTATATACGAAACAGCAGTTATCATAAGCCTCACCATCTTATCAGTCCACTTCACACGCTGCCAAGGCGAAGACGGTCCCTTTTTCCCTCTACCCCCTTCTTGTTGACTCTCTAAACCATCCTCATTAAAACTCGGCTCATCCTCATCACTAGTCGAGCTTTTGCTTCTCTCTCCCTTACTGTAATCCGTCATCGAAACAGTTTGATCACAGTTCTGTAAGAGAGAAAACCCATCATGAACCGATGAATGTAGCAAAGACCCTTGACGCGCATGCGGTTGAGGTTGATGCTGATGAATGGTGTGAGGATGATGTGCTTGATGATGAACATGAATTGATCCAGGTAAATCAAATCCACCAAAAGAATTTCCAACACCACCTTGTGACAAATTCACATCCATTTTTTTTCTCACAAACAAAACAACAACCTAGATCAAACTACCAAACCCATTACACATCAAAACCTAAACTTTTCAAAACCCCTAAATTTTTTCACCTAATCTACAATCAAATATAATCAATCACCAATTTAACCAGAACAAAAAAAAAAAAAACATCATTAAAAAGTGACCAATACAATACCTCTAAAAAACAAAAAGGAACTAACTTTTCACACAAGAAGAAAGAGACAAGGTTCAAAATCAATAACCCATAAGCAAAAAAAGGGAAATGATTAAAGGGTCAAGAAAAAACAGAAATAAAAAAGCTTTTCTTGAAGGGTACTCAGTGAATGAAGATAAAGTACTTATCTGGTGCAAAATTGCATGGAATTGGTGACTGAGAAGCTGGAAAGACGGAGGTTTGAGGAAGAAAAGGCGAAGAGAATCGAGACACTGCAGAGAAAAGAGGAGTTAGGTTGTTGAAGGGTCTGAAAACTGAAAAGAACCCCGGCAAAAAGGAGGATACAGAGACAAGGTTAACAACCTAGGAAAATACAAAGTGCTGTTCTGTAGGAAAATAATTTTTTATTTTATTTTTTTGTGAGCTTTTTTCAAAATAAATTATAAATAGATAAATATTTAAATATTTTTTATGATTAATTTGAATGATAGAGAATATGAAATAATAAATTTTGATGTACTAAATATTTAATTTGTTTTAGTCAACTTAAAATAATCAAATTTAGTATAAGATAAATTAAAGATTTGGTTTTCTCTATTTAAATAAACTAATCAATTTTAGTCAAATTTGAATAAATAAAGCAAATTTATTTTTCAATCAATTAAAAATGTGTTTTTTTATTAGTATAATGAAAATCATCTTTTAAAATAAAAAAAAACTGTTAAAAGTAACTTTTAAAACAGAGTGAGTTGAATAGATTTTTTTACAAAAAGTTCTTTTGAATTTCATTCTTTCATAAAAGAATAATAAACAGACAAAATAATATTCTAAGAGTACTTAATTTAAAATAAATGTATTCTTAGAAATGATTAACAGAGGTATCTATATTTTAACAAAAGTTTTGTTAATATGTGTTTGTAAAATACTTATTAAAAAATAAAAAAAAATACAAGTTTATAATATAATATTTTTATAGTTATTTTCTTAATAAATATCAGTAGGACATTCATGACATTCTAGAGAACTTTTAGCTCAATCGAAAAACAAATAACACTCCTTTTCTATAAATAATATTTAAAAAGTTGTTCAGTTTATAATAAATTATTATTATTTAAATATTTTTATAAAATAGATATATGAATATTTTGCTAGTATAATAAATTAGAAAAATGCGATAAAGTTTTTTTTTGACACATCTTTTTTATAGTATAAAATAGTACGCTAAAATTGTATCAATTTAAATCGGATAAGCTCAAATCTTCAATTTAAAATTATTGATTTTATATTTTAAAATAATAATTTAAAAAAAATAAATTTGTAATTTTAAAAAAAATGAAATTCTATTAATTCAAAGCTTGTAAATTAGACAATGATCTTAAATGTTGTTTTTTGTAAGAGTTTTTTTTATCAATAGTTTAAAAGCTTGATTTACATGTTTTTTTTATTTAAAGATAATGTTAATAATAAATATATCGGGAATATTGAATATATATATATATATATATATATATATATATATATATATATATATATATATATATATATATATATATATATATATATATATATATATTATTTATTATATTGAAAATTACTTTATTTTATATTCTAAAATAGTTAAATTATTATATATTTTAGAACACTTATAGATTAAATATATAATTTAATAGGTCATGAGCATGAGACATGAAAGAAAAAAAAAACTTAACAGGTTCAGTGTATGGGAAGATCCAGTGGGTCCATCTGATGTCATACTCAAAAAATAATATAATTGAAAGTAACGCCACGCCAAGCATATAATATACTCACTCTGTTTTAAAAATGTTTTAAAAAGAAGGTTGTTTAAAGATTTTATATAGAGATTAAAAAATGTAATAGTATTATCACAATATATTATATTTTTATTAAATTAACTATGAATATATTGAAAGTAGTTAAAGAATATAATTTAAAAAATTATTATTATTACTATATTAAAAAATAAAAATAATATTTATTTTAAAATACATTTTATTTGTTAAAATGACATTTATTTTAAAATAGAGGAGTACAAATTAGACACAAAAATGCAATTTGATGGGAGAATTGGGCTCCTTTTTTGTTGCAAATTACACATTTGTTAGAAGTCTATCTAATGGTAACATCTAACTAATTTTAAATGACACTTAAAATTATACGAAAGAATAGTTTAATTAAATTTTTAAAACAACATAATCAAATATTGTCTCGAGTGGCACTATAAATTTATGTTAAAAATAAAGGTTTAGAAAGTACTGAATAATCGAGAAATAATATTTAACCACTATCATTATCTTTTGATAGGAACTCTAGATTATTAGAGTTTTATTTCTTTAAAAATTAGAGTGTACAAAGAAAAGAAAAAAAACAACAAAACATGAAAATGATATTGTGTTTTTCAGTTGAAATAACAATAATAGATTGATGTTTCGAATTTGAAGTTAAAAATAATATAGTTTAGTTGTAATTTTAGTCTTTCTATTTTTATATTTTTTTTAGTTTTTGTCTCCTACTTTAAAGTTAAGGATTTGGGTCCTCTATTTTGGTTTTTTCAAGATTTTAGTCCTCCATTATATTTTAAAATTATTTTTTATGACATGGCAGGTAGGAGTGGCAAAATGGATTGAGTCTGTCGGGTTGATCCGTTTGATCCGCCATTTTTAACAGGCGGGATTGAGGTTTTCAGCTTGGTATTTTAAGTTGGTCTGTCCCGTCTAATCCGCTTAAAAAAGAGGGTCGAAGCGGGACAGGGTAGGTTTTCTCTGCGGGCTTTTTGTTAAAATTTTTACTCTTTTTATTAAGAATTAAAACAACTTTAATTATAAAAAAACACTTATCTCTTAGATTGTATTATAAATTATGATCATATCTGATCAGAATAGACCGTCACAACTAGCTCGAGCAGAAGTTGAGAGTGAAATGGGGGTACCTGCAAGACACTCCCATGCCAAAGTAAGTTGCGGAATGAGCAAGCAAGCGTGAGAGTTAGAAAGTGTTGAATATTTGGCTCTCTCGAAAGAGAGGGTATTTATAGTCCCTAGCGCTGGGCCAAGGTCTCTACATTGGGCTGGTCAAGCAGACCCAAAGTAGAGACTGCCAAGTCCTACGTGAGTAGTGAGGACCCGCACGTGGTCTCCTACCTGGATGACGTCCTCCGCAAGGTCAGGAGAATATGGATGCGATCTTTCCGGGGCCACGAAGACTATGTGATATCTGGAGACGTTGGTAGTCAGCCCTACGAGGAGGATGCTCGGGAGGAGCATCTGCCCGTCGTAGGTGATCCCCGCCATACGCGAGGTCGAGTGAGGGGACCAGCCTTGGTTGACGAGCTAGTAGGGGTGTCCTCGAAGCCTTCATGGTCGGAGGTGACCGTCCTTAGTCTACTCAGGGTGTTATCCCCGTGTGGTGAGGTTGTCTCCTCGCGGGGAAAAGGTGGTATTTACCTGCCGTGTTCGAGGATAGAACCGGTCAGTGGTGCAGGTTGACATACTTGGATTGGGCCTCACTAGGAGTTGGGCCAAGGGCAGGCCTAGTCCAGAACAGGAGCCCCCCAAGTCGTTGCTCCTGATGAAGGAGTTATGACTTAGTTCTAGTTTTTCATTTTACGAGGTGCGTTGATCGACATGGAGCTTTTATACCACAGACTGGGAACATCGTCGATTCAAGATTTTACCATGAGCAGCAGTCGGAGTGGGTTTGAGGAGGACTCGCGGGGAGAAGACGATGCACTTGTCAGACACGTGACATGGCTCTTGGGAATAGTAATGATGACCTAGGGAGTATGGACCATCATTGCCTGTACATGTAGGTGTCGAGGAGAAAGGCGGCTTATGAGTTGCCCTACGCGACGTTTCGCATTCCACATCAGCTCTATAAATAGGGCTTTAGGGATCATAATTTACTTTCATATTTTCGCGCTCTCCACTTTCTCCGTTGTCAACACCGTGCCGTTTTCCAGAATCTTTGAAACTACCGCACAGTCTGCCGCGAACTTTTCCTCAACCGTTGTCGTTCTTCATCTATTTTTCAAGTAAGCGTTCTTTTTCCTTTATATCCTATGTGTAGATAGATTTTGATGATGTTTAGTAGTAGGATTTCGCATCAGGGGGGTTCTGCCCAAGGAATTCATGCGTTTAGGCATATGATTTGTGATTATGCCCGTGATATTCATCCTTTCGTCGATACTTAGGTTAGTCTTCCCCGTGATCTCCATGTGTTTGGCTAACAAATTTATGAACTTAGTCGTGAGATTCATAATCTGCTCGCAATATTCTTCCTGTGCCTGGTACATTTATGAAAAACAAGTGTTCGTCGTTAGGATCGTCGTGTGATCCTAGAGGATTTGCATGATTTTCATGGGCCGGTCGAGGTCCCCGTATTTCCCCTTTTTGTGTGGATGACCGTCAACTTGATCTGGGCGTTGTTTATCCTTTTCATCTGCATCGTCGAAAAGGGGGATTTGGATTTGCTGTCGAATTCACTGGTTTCCTTTGCTTTGTAGGTAAAGGCCAACACTCCTGAATCGTCAGAGAATATAGAGGTCGAAGGGACCAGCGCCACCGAGAAGAACATTAATTTGGTCGACGTAATTGACGACCCTGAATTGGATTAGGTCGGTGCCGAGCCCCGAGGGATAGCATCGATCTACAGTCACAGCCAGAGGCAAGCCTTCACAGTCGCCGAGTACGGAGCCGGCCAGGAAGGCTTTCAGAGAAACTTCAAAATCCTGAGACCGGCGCAAGATGCTCGCATATGCTCGGAGTACACTGAGGACGCCTTCCCCATGTATAAGGTCATGTTCAAAGACCTTGGGCTTCGGCTT